TAGAGAAACACTAACTGAACGGTTACAGACTAATGGACAAAGAAGCAAAACTCTCATATGCATCTTATGTGCAAAACTGAATATCCATCTTCTTGAATGCGTCTTCTTGAACTTTCCTGGATATTCATTGACTGTTACTCAGATGCAAGCGAATGCTACAAAGCGACTCCACAAATTCCGTAACAGATCTCACTATTCAAGAGACGCGAAGCGGATTTACGATAAAACATACTACTCGCATGCCTCTTCAGTAGCATCCACCGTTACAGTAGTATGATATACAAGGTCATCTAGACAACTAATGAATACGAAGCAAACTGGTCGGCCGAATTCAGACTAATTCCAAATCCGAAGCGCTGTGAATTCTGTGTTTGACTGTGTGGTTCCGAAAACAAAACCACGGCCTAATTCAAGTTTGATCTCACAGCAACCCTTGTCACTGATCGAGGTGAGGAATGCGGTCCCGTCGGTGTAACAAATACGAATCAGCACGATCTGTGGAAAGACGTCTAACGTCTCAAGGCACTAGAAGTGGTTGCTACCAAAAGTTTGATAAACGCAAAAGGCGGCAACAATTAGTCGAACTTTTCAAATTTTTTGTAACACCTGCCCACAAAAACCGCCAGCCGGTGAAGTCATTAGATGGAAAAACGTTCCAAAAGTCCATTTCAGGTTCTGCCTTCAGCTTTGGTAGGTGAGACTTTGAAAACGGTTTTCTCGTCTGAATAGCTCATTATAACATGATAGGACGTAACCTGTTCCATTCCAACAGAAAACTAAGTCATAAACGAAATCAAACTTTTCTAGGGAAACAAGTCGCCTGGCCATGAATGCCTTCCCCCCCCCCCCCCTTGCTGGGGGCTGAAGAGAAAGCACTCATTCACAGTCTGGTAGAACTCACTTAGAACACTCTGAGGGCGAGTGAAGTGACAAATGGTTTCTTCCTGCGCAGGGTTACCAGCAATCGCAATAAACGGAAACGGTCCTGAACGTCTACTACACCCTGCACGGACTCCTTTCCATGGACTTTAAAGAACTGGGGTATGTGGATACAAAGTACACATGCGATTTTGTATGTACTTTGCACCTTAAAAGCGCATAATGCTATTGTAGAACTGAGTTCGTTACCGTATCCGGTCATGGTATCAGAACCGCTAAAAATAGGGAACAGCCTTGCCCATCTGGGTAGTTGGTAGCATTGCTAACGAAGTGAATCTTAGCCTCTCTGAAACCCTTTTCTGCATCCATTCAACTATGGCACCTCTGGCGTGGTAAAAACCTGTCACTGGCAGGCATGGTCTACAACGCGGTAGAACGTCCAGTCTTGCTTTATAGTTGTGAAGCTTGGATAGTGTGCGCTGGAGACAAAAAAACATTGCTTGTTTTTCGCTAACGGTCACTTTGAAGCACTACACACGTACCGCTGGAACACTGGTTTAGCAATGTTGAAACAGGTGAAGTGGTGTTCGCAACGAATAGACCGCTTGTTCATCTGATGATCTGGTTCGGCTGACTGCTCGATCCTGTGTTCCGTATGCCAGGTGGTGGAATGTCTCGCCGTGCCCAAATTGGTGAACTAGATTCTGACTGGATGAAACCACAGAATCGGTACTGCATGACCTCGAAAAGGAGCATGAAAAACAACGAAGGATTCTAGCTGCACTCCTGCCTGTTGTTTGCGAGGCTGGGATATGCAGTATATTGGTGGTCGGATGTAGCGGTCACTCACTAGATCACACGTCACAAACACTTAACACTTCCTGTCCCACTTGCAACCTCAGCCGACAAAATGTACACTCCAAATTACCATTCATTTTTGTCTACTCGGCTACCACCTACGTCCGACACTAGTCTTAGGAAATTCAACCACATCAGGTCAAGTTGTATTCATGTTCGTGCAATTGTCAAATACGAATGGCTACCCCTCGCTCCACATTGTACACAGTAAATAGGCATGCAACTCGGTCCAAATACACGCTCGCGTCCGCAGGACGGGAAACTAACCGAGCTGGACAAGTCTCTACGGGACACGTGAAACTGCAGAGAAGACACATCCCGCATCCGTAACTTGACGCACAGACTCTCAGCAGGTGTCCCCAAACGATAAGTCACTTTTTGCATTGTATTTCTTTCAAGTACACATAACTTTTGTAATCATCATCATTCTGGTAAAACACGTTTATTAGTGCTTGTCACCTGGTAACCAAATTAATTATGTTACAATCAGATGAAGAGAGTGGTGTTACGTAACCAGTGTCACTGTCCTACATCTTCACTGCCCATAAATTGTATCTATCTACACCACCGTGAACTTGTAGACTGTCCACGAATGTCAAACTAGATTGAACTGCGTGAATAGAATCGAGGGTGTGGAGCTAGCTAGCGCAGCGAGAGCGGTCTTAGATAAGCCGACTTGACACGTGACAGTGTGGTTGTCAATCCACGTAGGATCATTGGAAAAAACCGGGGGGTAGGGGTGGAAATCCCAACCAACCAAAGGTCACAGCATCCCTCCTACACAACTTTCTTAGCGCTACCTCACCCACACAGACTAACAGAAGGTTCAAACGAAGTTCAAGAGGAACCATCAAATGAACCGAACCAGAAGAACTAGACCCTAGGCTGGACCCAAACACATGTAGGTTTCCCCACCGACCCAACACTTGTTCAACCATTCTAACACACAAAAATCCCTCGGCCGACACCCAATAGGGATTTAGCTTGACTTAGCTGATTGGTTCTCCTTCCACCTTAAATCTCGACCAAACTCGGAACCTAATCAATTGGCCTGACGAAGCTTTTGTGTCAAAAGCGGAACGTTGCCCGGCAATAAATCTTCCGATTGTCACCAAACTTTTTCGAAAACGTGGACTTCTTTCAGTTCCAACATGCTCGCAGTCGAAATTCAAGCAGAAAGAAGCATTTACCCCTTGTCCTATTTCCAAAACATCGTCGGGCGTATTTTAGTCAGCTTCTTTAAAGGCTACGTTTGTCTATAGGTAAGTACTGACGTAAGACATTCCTGGAGTGTTGCAGTTGGATTGAAATCTGATTTTCTCTTCCACTTCTCTGTACCGGACAGTCTGAGTGTGACTAGATTAGTCAAGGCTTGTGATGACATGGAAAAAGACAAGGTTGCTTCATGAGAAGGAAGAACTCAATGGAGAACATGTGAAATATTCCATACAAAGAATAGATCAATGGTGCAACGAACACATCACATGAATCGATGTACCACACAGGATTTGGCTCTCGAACTAGTATTCACCATTACATCAGAGGTCGTAGTGACAATGGATTCGGAGATGTGGTATTTCAGATGATTCTATACACCCGTTCAACGTTTGAACTTGTACAGTGCTGTCTTGCTGACTGGAATGAAAGAATATGGCATGTTCACATATAAACGACCTAATTGACCGGAATAGCTCCAAGATTCAATCTCGACATTGGCAAGCCGAAAATTACGTGGGGGGGGGGGGCAAAACACCAAAACCACCTTCATCTTCATGCGACATTTATGCCTCATTCGCATTTCGAAGCTCGGAAACATTGCACAATAATCTACATCTCTATTGGAGGATTCTCCTTCCAAAGACCATCTTTGAGGAAGCATGCTATAGGACTTTTTTACATGGGTATGCACATACATTCGATCTTGTGGATTCTCCCAATGTTTACATCGATACTGAACAGATCATTCAGGAATAAAACACGTTTTCGTTGGTCACCTGAGAAAAGCTCTCTGAAGGGAGAACAAGCATGTATGGAGACAAACATGCGTCAAGCTAAATCTTGCTTTAACCGTCCAATTTAATAACATGAGTCGAACAGCCATAGAGTTCAAAAGAATTGGGTTGCTCAGACTGTCCGAGATTATCGCTCACTGACGCGAAACTAGTAACGACACGCCTCAAATAAAACAACTCTATAAGCCTAATTCCAAATCACCAAACAAATAGTGTAGTTGTGAGGCTTAGATTGTTCTCCGGAAACCAAATCAACTTCGGTCAGCAGTTCCCGTACGTGCTGCGGCATCTAGAATTTGATCAACCAAGCCACAAAACCGCTCATCATCATCAAAGACAGCAACATCAAACAGCATCGAAGTTGGCATTGATGCTTCACTGCTGTCCAACCATAGGGTCCTTCTAGTTATATATATATATATATATATATATATATATATTAAAA